AGAACAATAATAATACCTATTTCATAGAGATTAAATGTGTTAAATTTTATAAAGCACTCAGCAGAGTGGGTAATTCTAAGCTCTGAAAAACATGAGCTGCTATTATTATTATTTATAGTTAATAAAGTACTTACATATATGTTACCTCTGTAAACAATAGGTAAGTTGACCATACATCCTAGTTTTTCCAGGACTGTTGCTGTTTATGCCTACTGTAATTATTAATAATACCCCTTTCTTTTTCAAAGTGTCCCAGGTTGGGAAATAAATTATATGGTCACCTTAGCAGTGGGCTCCAGAATAGAATGAAGAACACCACCCAGAAATATATAGGTTGCCAGAGCTGAGGAAAAGGTAGATGTGAGATTTAACCCAGGAGCGTCCAGGGTTTTTTTTTGTTTGTTTGTTTTTACAAGGCAGTTCCTTACAGTTTTTTCCAGTTGCCATCAAGCCGACTCTGACGCGTGGAGATCCATGTGTGTCAGAGTAGAACTGTGTTCCATAGGGTTTTCAATGGCTGATTTTTCAGAAGTAGATTGCCAGGTCTTTCTTCTGAGACACCTGCAGGTGGACTTGAATCACCAACCTTTTGATCAGCAGCTGAGCACATTAATGGTTTGCAAAACTCAGGGACTCCTTTCAGTTAGAGCAGTTTTATTACCATCCAGACAGATTTTGACATTCAAGGGGGGAGGAATGTCTGTTCCAAGGGAGGAGGTGAGGAATCTCTCAGCATGCCAGTCAGGATGATGAGAACCCCAAATGAGGAGTGGTGATAGGACAAAGAGGATGTTGACAAGTCTGTACAGATTGGACTTCGTCATTCACTGGATAAGTAAGGTGAGAGAGGAACGAATTTGATTTTCTGGATTGATTTACCCAAAATTTGATGTTGTCACTGAGAGAGATTTTTAAAAAGATATAAACTATGAGAAGATTAAGTGCTCAGTTTTAGACATGTTGAGTTCAAAATGCCTGTGAGACAGACATCCAAGTGGAAATTCCCAGGAGGCAGTTCTCGATATCACGTTGGTGCTAGGGGAGCTCCAGATTTGGGAGTCATTTGCCTGGAGATAGTGGTTTAAGCCTTGTAAGCAGCTGAGATTACTTGGCGGGAAGAGGCCTTAGCCAGGGAAGAAAAGTGTGCCAGGGATAGACCTCAGGAAACACCAATATTTTTATGAGTTGGGTGGAAGAAGAGGAAGCAAAGATGGAGAAGATCTGGAGCTATAAGGAGAGAGTTCCTGAAAGGGACTTTCAACAGTGCCGACCAAGTAGGTGAAGATGAAGAGTGTTGGCTTTGGCAGTTAGGAGCTCTTAAACAACTATGCAGAAGCCATAATAGTGGTGAAGTAGGAAGTGGAAGCACATGCCTGGTATTGGGGAAGGAAAAGGAAGTGAGGAAGGATGATACGGCAGGTAGCCCTGTACTGTGCAATAGAGTACCCACTAGCTACATATGGTAATTTAAGTTAGAATATAAATAAGTTAAACTAAAAAATTAGGTTCCTCAGCCACACTAGCTATATTACAAGTGTTCATAGCCACATGCTAGTGGCTGTCACATTGGACAGTGCAGATACAGAATATTTCCGCTATCACAGGAATTTCTGTTGGACAGGGCTGGAACTTGTTAAGGAAAGGGGAAAGATGGAGAAGCTCAAAAGGAATACAGTATCAGAGGAGGGTCTCTCCCACCCTCTACCACCACCCAAAATAAGCCCAAAGTGAGTGTATGTATAGCCTGGGAGTTGCTGCCCAAGCCAGCAAAGAGAGCAGGTAAGAAAGGCTCTAGGGGACACTGAAAGTACTACTGGCATGTAGAACACTAGAGTAAGGACAGTTCTTTCTTGAAAAAACAGAGTAAAAAGGATGAAAGTACGGATACAGCCTCCTTTGGCAAAGCCAGGAATCAATTAATCAAATAGCAGCCATGCTAACTTTTTTGAGAAAATAACCAAAAAAATCAAACGCATTACTGTCAACTGTGACTCATAGTGACCCTATGGGACAGAGTAGAACTGCCCCATAGGTTTCAAACACTGTAAGCTTTACAGAAGCAGACTGTCACATCTGCCTCCCATGGAGCGGCTGGTGAGTTCGAACTGCTGACCTTTTGGTTAGCAGCTGGGTGCTTAACCACTGCACCACCAGGACTCCTTGTTGAGAAAACAAAGGGCTGTAAATTTCAAGGGGGCTTCTGAGAACAGTGGCAGTTTCCATTATGAAAAATACCAATACTTGACTAGAGTTTGTCTTTTCAGTTAGTAATTATAATAGCTTTCATTTAGTGATACCTGTTTTATGATGTACACTGGACTAGGTTTTTTACATTAACTGTCTCCTTTAAGGAGCCCTGGTGGCACAGTGGTTAAGAGCTCAGCTGCTAATGAGAAGACTGGCAGTTGGAACCCACCAGCTGCTCCGTGGGAGGAAGATGTGGCAGTCTGCTTCCATAAAACTTACAGCCTTGGAAACCCCATGGGGCAGTTCTACCCTGTCCTATAGGGTCACTATGAATCAGAATCGACTTGATGGCAATGAGTTTGTTTTTATCTTCTTTAAATCCACAAAATAATTCAGAAAGGTAGTCGTCATTATCTTTAAAAGGTTAAGTAACTTGCTTAAATGTACAAAATAGCTACTGTCAGGGCTGGATTCAAACAGTAGTGTGACATAAAGTCAAAAAAATCACACAACTGCAATGCGTGATAAATACAGTGCAATAAAGGACGTCGTAGGGAAAGACCAGCATGTTGTAGGTGCATATAGCAATAAACTTGAATTTCAGAGAAGGCTTCTGCAATGTGGTGACACTTAAGAAAGACCTGAAGGCTGGGGAGCTAGTCAGTTACTAGGGAGAGAGTGTCCCAGGCAGAAGAAACATCTCCTTAGAGATGACATTCAAAAGACTGAAAGTCCAGTATGGCTGGAGCATAAACTGAAAAGAAAGAAGGGAGTGTTGAGAGATGAGACTAGGATAGGGACAACCTAACCTCCATTTATATTCTACTTCCTCCATTAAACTCAAAGTTAGATATATTTCCTAATAAAGGTCTTAATATGACTCAAAAAAATGATTAACATTTCAAGGTTTATATACCCAGTACACCAGAAGAGAAAAAAGCCTTGCAGGCTTGTGCACTAGGATGTATGAGAGAGCCATCTAGTGGTCTCTTTCGCATGTAATGAGATGCAACTCTGAATCTAGGTTCTTAAAAGGCCAGTGCAACCTAGCTACTTTCAGGCCTATCACATGGGTTTTAAAAATGTTTCCTTTCCCAACTCATTGATAATTTCAAAGGAACCAGATTTCCCTGCATTTGATATTTTATCATAACTTTTAGATTTTTCACCAAAAACCTAAAAGATTAGGCATAGCTCTACGCCTGCATTCTCAACAGATTTGGTTTTTTGGTTTTTAATGACATTGATTCAAGTTTGAGAATCTGCCCCTGAAATAATTGTGAATTTTATTCTCTATAAAATGTTTCATTGTACAACAGCATATTAACTGTTTATATTTAGCCCATGTCTGGGGCAGAAGAATTTAGCCGTAATGGATTGATTGTTCTGTGAGGCAGAATGCCACCGTGGCCTAACAGACTTGGTTGAGTTGTGATTTGCTTTGTTCATTTTACTGAGATTGGCCCTATTACTTGGTAATTATTTTCTGATTGAAGATTTCACCTGGGATAGGCTGCTTCTGCAGGCAAGAATTGGAGACCTACTTTGAGTCATTAAACCAAGACTGTTTGGAAACATGAGAGGATCTCTTAGCATCATTTTGGAAAGACTTTCTGTCCCCTTGCACCATTTTCTTAACAATATATTCTTTAGTGGAATGTATCATGGCTAAACCAGTTATCATTTTTATGTCCTAATGGTCATGAAAAATGATTTTGTAAATGTTATCTGATGATGCTGTAAATGTAATTAAAACTTAAGCAGTTGAACTCCGTAGTCATAAGTAGTTTCTTCATTAGCATTTAGAATATGATGAGGAAAAGGAAGAGCTGTGGGTTACCTTTGGGTTTGGCTTAGGAAAGCAGGTTTGTGTGTGTGTGTGTGTATATGTATTCACACAGTTAATACATTTTTAATGTGTTTGAAGCTGTAGATGTAGGTGATAAGGATAAAAATGCTTCATGAACTTTCTGGAGTCATATTTTGTATCTGTCATAGTATGTTATAAGTAATTTGTTTGCATGGAATTCGATTATTATATCTAAATTTACTCCTAAGTACAGGAAGGCATGAAATACATTTTAATGATGGGTCATTCCAGTAATAAATTAGTTTGTTAAAATCTTCTCTTTTGTTTGAAACTGATTTAAAAATGTTGTTTTTTCACAAAATAATTTTTCTACAATGTGCTCATTTCTTGTTTTAAAAGGAACAGCTGAAGGTATTTAAAGTAGCACTGCCAACAAAATAATAATAATAATAAAACTTCAATTTCCCAACTGCCGTGCGAATGCATATATGTTAGACTTCGTGTGTTTTATGGCACCTGCTCAAAAATATGTATTTAATCTCTTGCAGATTAGACTTTAAAAGCTTTTCAAAGACAACTAAGCGTTTGCCTGTGAAGATAGCTATTACCTGAAGTAGCTGTTGATAATATTTTATTTTAGAAACCTTATGAACCCTAACTTCCAAATCAGTCCATCTATACTGTGGAAAACATTTATTGAAACTTGTACAATCATATATGCATTATTATGTTTCTATTAATATGTTAGTAGAGGTTATATAGTGTTTTGGGCTCGTGAAATAACAGAAAGAAGTAGGTTGTATATAAAATGAAATATGAAAGCATATAACTCCTTTATTGTTCTAGAAAATCATCTCTTTTTTCCATGCCTGAAAGTTTGGGAATATCCTGCTCATTCACTTACTGTGAAGAATCGGGAGCTATTACTTGTAAGGCACAACATTGTGTAAACCTTGCTATTTTACCAACCCCCACTCCTTTATCTTTTCTCTTGTTTTCACAGGTGATTTCTATTCACTTCTTTCCAAGCTGCTAGGAGAAAGGGAAGATGTTGTTCATGTGCATAAATATAATCCTACAGAAAAGGCAGAATCAGAGTCAGACCTGGTAGCCGAGATTGCAAACGTAGTCCAAAAGAAGGACCTGGGTCGGTCTGATGCCAGAGAGGGTGCAGAACGTGAGGAGAGGGGCAATACTATTCTTGTCAGAGACAGAATCCACAAATTCCACAGACTAGAATCTACTCTGAGTCCAGCAGAGAACAGAGTTTTCTCATTACAGCAACCCCTACCTGGTGAAGGCTCCCGGGAACCAGAACACACAGGAGGTGCGTTTAGGGCTTCTTTTACTGAATAAAATGCTAAGGGCTACAGTCCACATTAGCAAAATCTGAAGGGAATAAAAATTAATGGATGAAAAAAATTATCAATAAAAAGGACTTAGTAAAAAATGTTACTCAGATTTGGGTTATTTATCAGATACCACCTTTCTTTTATGAGTTTTTTGTTCTTACTTTGGTCCAATACTACATAAATTTAGTTTCTGATCATTCAGTGAGCCAGAACTACAAGGACCAAATATATTTGGGTCATTTCTGGGAGGGAGGCATATGAAATTCCGGCTAACAAATACTTATCAAATAAACATTTTCCATTTTGCTAAGTGTAATGAAATTGAAAATTAAAAACGTGATAATGTAAAGCCCCAGTGTATGAAATGTGTATACACTGCCTTAGCTTAAGGTAATTAAATTCCTCTCAAAGGAATCTTATATTTTCAACATTCTCATCAAACTGACTTGTAAAACATAACCATTTTTATGACTTTGATTTCTTAAGTTTCATTATCAATTAGTATCTTAATTGGAAAGTTGAGTAGTTATTTCTGATGGAACCTCCATCAAGTCAATAACTATCAGATTTATCTTTATTTCTAACCAGGATTGGCTTTCATAGTTAGGGGGCAACACCTTATTCCCTTCAGGTTCTGTGCCAGCAAGCTATGGATGCTTCATTTTTGTCTTTGTGTTACAGCCTCTGTGATATTGATTGTGCTTCGTATTACTCACTAATGTGGAAAGCCAGATAATGTAGCATGTGGAGATAATCTCAAAAAAAGTAACGGATATGCGTGCATGGCAGCTGTCCATGCGTGGGCCGGAGTGACACAGGCTGCCAGCTTGATGTTTTCAAATACAGTTTTGCAGGAAGCCATGAATTATTCAACACCCAGCTGATTTTTATTTATAACTGAAAAAAATTAGCATGCAGTGCCTTTGCTCACATGGAAAGTTCAAGCATTGTCCATTGAGAATTGCCTAATGGTCTCTATAAGAAGTACACTAAAACCTAGATGTTTACTACTTCATATTTAAACAAGATCAGCCCTGCTCTTACCTATTCTAAATTGATCGATTAAGACAGTGTTTCTCAAGGAGTGGTCCTTAGAATCCTTTGCATTAGAATCACCTAGGGTGCTTATGAAATACCTGGACTCTTGAATCCTACCCCAGAACAACTGAATTGGCATCTCTGGGTAAGGTGCCTAGAAATCTGCAGTTTGCCATGCTTTCTGTCCATTTTGTAAACACGCTGGAGTGTCTGTCTGAACCTTCCTACTAAGGACAGTGAATTGTAAAAGGCAGAAGAGTCTCTTTGGTTAGAATGGAATTCTGTCTTGAAGAACAGCTGTGAAATGTTAAAGTTGCAGCATGCTTTATCCCCATGACTTGTCTTTGTTATTCTTGGATGTGAAAATGTACCGTGGTCATTTATAGGTATTGTAAGTGTCAATGTAAAATTCATCATTTGACATAAGGCATTATATTCTTTGAAACCTACTTAGTTTTTCTAAGAAAGAAATGCTTAAAATACCTGGAATACATTTGCTTGCCAAATCTTCTCATACTTTACAGAGTGGTCAAAATGGCAGGGCTCAGGAGAAAGATGTTTCTCCACGATCTGTTTCAAGATGTTTCCTTTCATTTTAAATATGTGGATAAATGTCACTGAAGTAAATAGAACAATAAGTCATAGAAACATAGAGTACAAATCCTAATTATAGAAAGGAAATATGCATGTATTTCCTTTCTGAAATGATTTATTTTAATGTTATTTCACTATTCTGATTGGAAAGCTTTTTAAAAATTAAATGTAAAATGCAAAACTCATTTTTAGGTATGCTATTTCTAAAAAGCTTTTTTCTTCTCTATACTTTTTCACTGCTTACCATACATGATATCTAACATACCATATATGATATCTAACACAATGTAATGTTGTTGTTGTTACATGCCATCCAGTTGGTTCTGACTCATAGCTACCTGAAACTGTATCATTCCTTTGTGTAAGCCAGAGAAAGACCTACCTTCAGGAAGATTTTATTTTGTAAAAAAGAGTAGAATTTTATAGCATATAATGTCCTAATAAAATATATTAGTAGTCTAATTCATCTGTATTCCTCAGGGAATCGGTAGGGAGAATAAATTTGATGGATAACCTTCCACTGCTTCTCCTATACCCTTGCTTTTCTCCACGAAAAGCTGAGAATGTGGCCCTAATGGTCTGCAGGCATTAACTGTCTCCCTACATGCCTAATTTGGACCTGGAATTGTATTAGTTGCAATGAAGAAAGTAGCTTTTTATATGAGGTTATTATTGAAACAAAAATGTAAGGAAATTGTGTTGCTTAATAGCATAATCCATACTCATTTCAGATATCTTTAAGACCTTCTGGTCTTAATTTTCAAAGAAAGAAATTGAGGTCTAGAGATGTTAAACCATTTTAATGAGGTTACAGATTATTTATTATAAAAAATGTTATGTGCCACTTAAAAAATACCATTTTTAAATTTCAGGGGTATTTTTCTATATTCGAAATGCAGTTCCTACCATTACTTTGATATGTATATGAGACAGCATAATAGAGTAGAAACAAAATCTTACGTTTCTTTATTCTGGTTCCCTTGAATTTGTTGAGTAATATATTTAAAATTTATTATTTTTAAATTATAAAAATAAATTACAAATAGCTATTCTAACTGGCAGATTTGATTGGACTAGTTTATGCGAATGTAGAAGCCTGATTCAGCATATATTGCAAAATTCTGGACATCAGAAAATACAACTGCATTTATGTGACACCTCACATCAGATAACTTGGGAAGTCTTTAATTTATCATATGCTTCAGATTTTACCTCATTTTTATGGACAACTTTTATTCAGTCTCCAAATGGATTCTTTCAACATATTTTAATTATATGCTTACCTCTAAGTTCAAGTCTTACGGAATTCCCATGGTAAAGTAAGGCATTCAGTTTGCTGAATTTTCATCTCTAGAGGGGAGGAGAATAATAAAAGCAAACACATACGTAATACTTACTATGAGACAGGATAAGTGTTTACATGCATTAACTCACTCAATCTACACAACAGTCCTATTCATAAAGCCATTTTACAAAGGAAGAAACTGAGGCATAGAAAGGTTAAGTCTTATGCCCAAGGTGCCACAGCCCAAGGAGCCAGGATTCAAAGCCAAGCCAAGCAGACTTGCCCCAGAGTCTGGGTTTTTAATCACTTTGCTGTATTGCCTCTCACAAAAAAAACAAAATTAAATAGATAGATAAACTTTTTTTCCATTCATCCTGTCATCTCATTCTACAATTCTGATAACTATAGGTACAGATTTCTTTTGCTCATGCCTTCTCAATTAACATGCAAACAGTTTGACCAAGATGAAATTCCCGTTTGCAACTAAAGAAATTTAAGAGAAAAGAAGTTCTGCTAATTTTATGACTCTCTTCCTTACTTCACTCTTGTTAAATGTAACATTAGAATTCTTGTTTTCTTTCTGACTTTGGTATAAATATTTCTCCTATAATCTTAGTTAATTATAGTTATTGCTAGGACTTCTGATGAATAACAGTCCCTGACCAAAGTAAGGTGTCTTCTCACTAGAGGAGAATTTGCAAATGTAGAAAATGCAACCACCACATTTTGTTCTCATGGAAATCTTCTATTGATTGTATTAGGTTCTTTTTCGTCTTAAGATTAAATGTGAAGAACCTAAGACTGTAGTTAAGTCAGAGTTCTGGGTTTGAAATTATATAGTTCTATTAGTCATTATGTAACAGAGATAAATGAATGTCGTTTTAAAAGTTTATTAATAATTTTATGTGAAAGCAGCATTGATAACTAATATTAATCTCTTTCTTGAAAGGGTGTAATTCATTAATCCTTTTAGAGATTGATACAATTTTAATAATAATTTTTAAATTGTTTCTTAAATATATAAGACAGACTGTGAGGCTGTACATTTACCCTTATGGAATAAGAGTTTATTTATTAAAAAAAGGGTTATATGATACTTGGAAAAATACCATTTTTAAATTTCAGGAGGTTTTTTTTCATCTTTTGTAAAAGAAAATTTACATTAAGACTACCAGGATCAATAGCTAATGTATATTTACCTTGTTTTTCTAAAAATATTGTTTCCTGTAATATGTTCTCCAATTCATATTTTTAATAAGCAGTTAAACCTGAAATAATTCCATTATTTGACATCTGAATTTAGAGCAACTAACACTTGGATTTGGGAATTATTTGCCCAAGGTCATGTGTAAGAAATGTGTATTTAATTTTCAGGTTAAAAGGGTAAGTCTACAACATCAACTAGTCATATGTTGAATCATTTCTTAAATAAAGACTAAGAAGAATCTGCATTAGAATTTTTCATGATCAAAAGTGTTAAGTTTAAGTTAAAAACCCAGATATATTTTACCACTCGATTTCCTTAAAAAGGATTTGAAAATTTCTTTTATTGGGGATTACAAAAGAAGCATCCTTGGTATTGTGCCTGCTCTCTGGCCCAAGCCTGAAGCTCCTTTCCTATGAAGTGAGAAAATTACCTGGGATAACCAAAAACATTTATAAAGTTCTATGATTCATGTCAAAATAGGCAGGGATTGGAAGAACAATAAGTATTAATTCCATCTATATATATACCACTGGTCCTAAATGACAGCCTTGATTCTTGATCCTCTAATCTTAAAATAAGAGAACTGCCTTTAACTACTTAACAATGAGAAAGATAGTCACACTGGAAACAAAAACATCAATTATCTGAGCTAATGTTTACAGAAGAGAATGTGAACTCAATTTTCTTTTATTAAACAGAAGTTCTGTTTAACATGGAAACCCTGGTGGCGTAGTGGTTAAGGGCTACGGCTGCTAAACCAAAAGGTTGGCAGTTCACATCCACCAGGCGCTCCTTGGAAACCCTATGGGGCAGTTCTACTCTGTCCTGTAGGGTCGCTAAACATCAATTATCTGAGCTAATGTTTACAGAAGAGAATGTGAACTCAGTTTTCTTTCATTAAGCAGAATTTCTGTTTAACACAGAGAACTAGATCTTGAAAGTTTTGAGGTCTTGATTAGATAACCTTAATAAATGTGCAGTGATATTTTTAAATGAAACAGAAAATGAATTTACTGTACTTTTTCCAAACATCCCTGCCCCACATAAAGTAGTTCCTCTTTGCACTGACTCAGTAATAACAGAGCCAGGTTGCTCACGGTCTTAGCCCTCGACTTGTACATTCCTTGCATATCACCCTTACTGTTTTATAAATTCATGAAAAGTATATGTTGGGATAAATATGTTCTAGATATTCACACTGCTTTTCTTTCCTGCAAATTTTCAACCAATAAGATTCTTATATGTGACAAAACAAGTGTTTTTCTGATGGGTGGTAAAACCTAGCAAAAAGGCTCACAAATATTAATCAGCTCATTCTGCAGACTTTCAAGCACTTAACTCACCTAAGGGCATATGATAGTTGGGATTATTCAGAATCAGATCAGAGTTTTTACATAGTATTTCCAATATTTTATGGAACTCATATTTGACCACGGAACAGTATACATTTTTTTTTTTTTGCCGTTGAGCATTGTCTGCCAGACTATCTGTGTACTTTGATAAGCACTTAGCTTCCAGTACCTGTTGGCGGACCACTGAATAGAAGGGTGCCAGGATCCATAATATTTGTTTATTGTCTTTCAGTGAAAGTAATTAGCCAATCAGCATTTTTAAGTATCCTCAATGTCTCTAGCACTGTGCTACACAAACAGAGGTAGTACAAACAAGCTACCAGATTATAAGGGTGTTTAAATTCTAGTTGACAACATAAACAAGAGACTGCAGCATAGAGGTCAGTTTGGTGCGTTTATATTAGGCCATTACAGTGGGCCAGTCGCTGTGCGAGGCTCGGTGGCACATCAGTTAATAAGACATGATCCCTGCCCTCAAGGAATTTCACCTAGTTGTAGCGGTTTCTGGCTTTGAGAATCTGATGAAAACAGTTAAATGTCTACATTGTCATGAGGCTTGAAGTTCCTTTGGAGCCCATTCAGAAACTTCTAGGGCTGACAAAGGAATGTAGAACGATGACCCCTGAAAGGACAAGCCGTAACTGAGATGAGAGTGAAGTTCAACCTGAGATTCACAGTTTTAAAAAAATTTAAAACATTTTCTTTGGGGAATGATTTATCCGTCTGTTGATCTATCTAGACATCTGTAATTATAATACTTATACCCTATTTCCAGTTATCTTTCAAAAACACAGTTTTAATCATGTCACCCATGCTTAAAAACCTTCAGTGGATCCCAGTTGCCAGTAGCAGCAGTTTGCGACCTTTTTCCTATTATGACAAGTGTGATAGATGATGGATGGTATTCATCTGAGCAGGTCCAGTCACATCCAATGCTGAGCCTAGAATTCTTTGCAAATTCAGGCATGCCAGCTCTAACTCTGCCTCCTTCTCTCCAGCTCAAGAAGGCATATCAGAATACACGTGAGGGAGAATGATATTCTTGTGTGCTCTGATATATTTCAAAAGTAAATTATTCCTAACTTCTGTGCTTTCCTGCTACTAATAAAGTACTTGCAGCGTGCCTCAAAATTAATCACAATATAGAGTAAGACAACGTTAGATTCAGACTCCTTATGTGGTATACAATACATTTTCTAGTCTGGCTCTAAACTAGATCTCAAGGTCAGCTAATCCTTTCTCCTCCTCCCCCACTCCCACCTGACATACGCAGGTATCATTTCCAGCCTACTTAAAGACCTTGAAACATATTCTGCAATTATAAACATCCTTTTGTTCATTCTCTCAGAAATATTCTCTGCCTACTTCAGCACTGGGTGAACCCCTACTTACCCTTTTTGTGCAAACACAAATGTCTGCTTTTCTGGGCAATCTCCCACAATCTGACCTTAACCCCACCCTAGCCCAGCCCAGCCTCAGGAAGGATTATGGGGCCCTCTCCTGTGTTCCTACACCACTTGCACTGCTTTGAATCATAAGTGTTTGTTTCCTGTCTTTTCCTTATTGTATCCTGTGAGGTCATCAAAGCCAAAAAGCAGGTTTTATTGCTTTGTGTTCCCAGAATCTAGCATAGTGCCTCATGGAGAGAATGCACTCGGGGAATGTTTGTTGAAGATGCTTCAGCAAAGGTCGTTGGCAGAATGGACCTAGGCATCGTACTGATGCTGTGTTTTGTTGATTTTTATTAAAGAAAAATGTCACTGTTCAAAGGTGAAAATACTTTGAGTGAAAATGTACTTTTTCCTTTTGTATAGCTGAGAGAATTATTTTAAAGTGCTTATTATCATACCAGCACATTCTCAAGTTTTCACGAGCTGATTGTACAAGCCCTGTGCCTCCCTTTCTTCCTCCTGTCTTAATGCCTGTCTTTGAGAATTTCACTGCGTGTTGCCACATCCTCCAGAGGATGGGAAGGTGAAATGAGACTCAAGTTACTGCTTTTCTACTTCTCAGCGTCTCTGTTGAAGTGTTTGAGGGAGAAAGAAATATTGAAACTGATAAAATAGGATCCCAGGTTATCTTTATAACTATGTATCTTCAATTAGTATAGATCCTCCATACATAATTAGCTGTTGTTTTGTTTTAACTTGGTGGTATGTATCATTGTACCACTTTAGTCCTGAACATGTTTATAAAAGGGATTAACACAAACAAACCCAGGTATTTTCTGAGGTTAAATCTATTCAGATAAAAAATGAGGATAATTTGGAAATCACCACTCAGTCTGAGAGCTCTGTGGTTATTTTCCTTTCTTTCATGTTAAGAAACAGTGAAATAGAAACAGTGAAAGTGTCTTCCCATTCCCATTCTTTTAGGAACACTAAAGTTAGAAGAAATGAGACTGATACCTTATTCCGTTCTTTGTAAAAGGGATAATGAATGAATGATTTGTATAGAAAACCAAAACCACCAAACCCATTGCGATCGAGTCAATTTCAACTCATAGTGACCCTATAGGACAGAGTAGAACTGCCCCATAGGGTTTCCAAGAAGTGACTGGTGGATTCAAACTGCCAATCTTTTGGTTAGCAGCCACTATGCCACCAGGGCCCCGATTTGTGTAGGGTCTAGTATATATTGAACATCTAGAATTTATGTAAGAGTCAGATAGATGATAGGTAGGTAGGTAGACAGACAAGCAAATTGGCAGGCTTTTTGGCTGTATTTACTATTTATTTACATTTAATGACATATGAGATTGCCTTGAGGAATACCATTTAAAGCTTTGCAGTAAAATGAAGGCATCCACTTTCCAAAGATTAATCTAAAGTTAGAATCTGATCAAGAAGAAGGAAGTCTCAAATTTGCTTTTCAGTATCTTAAGGATAGGCCGGTTTTACAGACATGTTACAAACAGGAAAAGAGTGCATATAGTTCCCAGACAAGTTCACAGTCACTAATTTTATTTCATAGGAAGCTACTTGGCATGTGCATGTGGTATATTTTATCTAGAGCACTGCTTGATTTTTTTAAATATCTTTGCATCTAGTGATGTTACTGCATGAGCTGCTAATAGCCATCGTGAATCTTCATGAGGTTACAGCAGTTTTCCTTTTTTAAACTAAATATATGGGTTTGTCTTTTAGATTTCCATGTAGAAGAGGCACTGGACTGGCCTGGAGTATACTTGCTGCCAGGCCAGGTTTCTGGGGTGGCTCTGGACCTTAAGAACAACCTAGTGATTTTCCACAGAGGTGACCATGTCTGGGATGGAAAGTAAGTAACAATTATTCCTTCAAAGAGTAAGTGAAAATAAAAATAGTGTGCATCACATTTCATTAAATTAAGAACAATGGTGCGAGAACTATAAAGGTTCTTTTTGAACTTGATTTTTGTGAGCAAATCATATTTGATCTTTTAGTGTATGACTGTTACCAGTAGCAGAGAGGAAGTCTTGTGCATTTGACAGCAATTTTTGTAGTTTTACCAACTAGTCTGTGGAAAGAAAACAATAACAATCTGTGATTCTGCCTACTTAACATTCGGCTCCTCCTACCCTGAAGCTACCTTCACATCTCTAAGGGAAATAATATTCATCACAATTATAGTTAATACACTGCTAGAGAATTTTAAGAGTTCAAAAAAAGTGCATTATGATAAGCAGTCAACTAAGAATGGGTACTGGTTGACTATAATAAACCACTTTGTTATTCACACGTACGGGATGTAGAAGGATTCTCAGGCCATTGGACTGTCCCTTTTTCTCAGACTCTCCATGGCAATGATACAATTAGTCTTCTGGAGATCGTGATTGGAGCAGTTTGGCCACCAGCTATGTAGAAATAGTATCTTGACCTACAGATTTTACTACTGATTAATTTTATTACTCAAATTTGCTCTTTTCATGAGCATCAAAGACTTAAGAATAACATTAAACCACTTGACGTCGAGTTGACTGACTTATTGCCAACCATATGTATGTCAGAGTAGAACTGTGCTCCATAGGGTTTTCTTTTTTTTTTTTTTAAAATTGTGCTTTAAGTGAAAGTTTACAGTGCAAATTAGTTTCCCATTCAAAAATTTATACGCAAATTGTTTTGTGACATTGGTTGCAACCTCGCATTGTGTCAGCACTGTGCCCCTTTCCCTTTCCACCTCGGGTTCCCTGTGTCCATTCGTCCAGTTTTCCTGTCCCTTCCTGCCTTCTGGTCTTTGCTTTTGGGCAGGTGTTGCCCATTTGATCTCCTATACATGATCGAACTAAGAAGCACATTCCTCACGTGTGTTATTGTTTGTTTTATAGACCTGTCTGATCTTTGGCTGAAAGATGGACTTTGGGAGTGGTTTCAGTTCCGAGTTAGCAGGGTGTCTGGGAGTCATAGTCTTGGAGGTTCTTCCAGTCAGTGTCAGACCAATAAGTCTGGTCTTTTTTTGTGAATTTTCATTTTGTTCTACATTTTTCACCCTCTCTGCCCAGGACCATATATGGTGTTCCCTGTCAGAGCGGTCGGTGGTGGTAGCTGGGCACCATCTAGTTTTCTGGGCTCAGGCTAGTGGAGGCTGTGATTCATGTGATCCTTCAGTCCTCTGGACTAATATTTTCCTGTGTCTTTGGTTTTCTTCATTCTCCTTTGCTCCAAACATGATGGGACCAATAGATGTATCTTAGATGGCTGCTCGCAAACTTTTAATAGCCCGGATGCTACTCAACAAAGTAGCATGTAGAACATTTTCTTTATGAACTATGTTATGCCAGTTGATCTAAATGTCCCCTGAGACCATGGTCCTCAGCCCTCAGCCCCAGTAATTCGGTCCCTCAATGTGTTCATATGGGTCTAGGAAGCGTCTATGACTTTGCCTTGGTCAAGTTGTGCTGACTTCCCCTATATTGTGTGTTGTCTTTCCCTGCACCAGAGTTACCACTTGTCTACTATCTAGTTAGTGATTTTCCTTCGCATCCCTCCCCTCCCTTGTAACCATCAAAGACTGGTGTGTGTGTGTGTGTGTAAACCTGTAGTGGGGTTTTTATAATCATGATCTCATACAATATTGTCCTTTTGTGATCAACTTATTTCACTCAGCATAATGCCCTCCAGATTCACCCATGTCGTAAGATGTTTCACGGATTCATCATCACATCGTTGTTGCGTAGTATTCCATTGTGTGTATGTACCATGATTTGTTTATCCATTCATCTGTTGATGGGCACTTAGGTTGTTTCCATTTTTTTGCTATTGCAAATAGTGCTGTAATGAATGTGGGTGTGCATATGTCTATTCATGTGATGGCTCTTATTTTTCTAGGATATATTCCTAGGAGTGGCATTGCTGGATTGTATGGTATTTCTATTGCTAGCTTTTTAAGGAGGTACCATATCATTTTCCATAGTGTTTGTACCACTTTACATTTCCACCAGCAGCTCATTAAGAGTTCTAATCTCCCCGCAACCTCTCCAACATTTGTTATTTTCTGGTTTTTTGATTAGTGCCATAATGTCAGGGTGAGATGGTATCTCATTGTAGTTTTGATTTGCATTTCTCCAATGACTAAATGATCATGAGTATTTCCTCACATGTCTGTTAGCCTCCTGAATGTTTTTGTATATGGTGTAAGGTATGGGTCCTGTTTCATTTTTTTTACAGAGGGACATCCAGTTTTGCCAGCACCATTTGTTAAAAAGACTGTCTTTCCCCCAATTTATGGACTTTGGTCCTTTGTCAAAGATCAGCTGACCAGAGGTGGATGGATTTACATCAGGGTTCTCCATTCTCATCCATTGGTCTATGTGTCCATTGTTGTACCAGAACCAGGCTGTTTTGACTACCATGGCTGTATAGTAGGTTCTGAGATAGGGTAGTGTGAGGCCTCCTACTTTGTTCTTCTTCTTCAGTAATGGTATGCTTATCCAGGGCCTCTTCCCTTTCCATATAAAGTTAATGGTTAGTTTTTCCATCTAGTTAAAGAATGCTGTTGGTATTTGGATCGGAATTGCATTGTATTTGTAGATTGCTTTGGGTAGAATTGACATTTTCACAGTGTTGAGTCTTCCTATCCATGAGCATGGTGTGTTTTTTCCATTTATGTAGGTCTCTTTTGGTTTCTTGCAATGTTGTTTTCTTTCTATAGGTCTTTTACATCCCTGGTTAGATTTATTCCGAAGTATTTTATCTTCTTAGGGGCTATTGTAAATGGTATTTGTCTTAGTTATCTAGTGCTGCTGTAACAGAAATAACCACAAGTGGATGGCTTTTACAAAGAGAAATTTATTCTGTCACAGTCTAGTAGGTTAGAAGTCTGAATTCAGGGCACCAGCCCCAGGGGAAGGCTTTCTCTCTCTATGAGCTCTGTAGGAAAGTCCTTGTCATCAATCTTCCCTTGGACTGGGAGCTTCTCTGCACGGGAACCCCCGTTCCGAAGGACGCACTCTGTTCCCGGCACTGCTTTCTTGGCAGTATGAGGTCCCCCTGTCTCTTGGCTTGGTTTTTTTTTTAATCTCTTGTAAGATAAAAGGTGATGCAGGCCACACCCTAAGGAAACTCCCTTTACATTGGATCAGGGATGTGACCTGAGTAAGGGTGTTACATCCCACCCTAATCCTCTTTAACATAACCCAATCCTGCCTCATTAACCACAGGCAGAGATTAGGATTTACAACACATAGGAAAATTACATTAATCACAAAATGGAGGAAAACCACACAATACTGGGAATCATGACCTAACCAAGTGGACACATATTTTGGGGGGACACAATTCAATCCATGACAGTATTATTTTTGTGACTCTCTTTTCAAAGTTCTATTTGTTGGTGTACAGGAATCCAACTGATTTTTGCATGCTGATCTTGTATTGTGCTATTCTGCTGAATCTATTAGTTCCAGTAGTTTTCTTGTGGAATCTTTGGGATTCTTTGTATATAGGATCATATCATCTGCGAATAGGGATAGTTTTACTTCTTCCTTTCCAATCTGGATGCCCTTTTATTTCTTTTTCTTGCCTTATTGCTCTAGCTAGGACTTCCAGCTTAGTGTTAAATAGGTGTGGTGATAAAGGGCATCCTTGTCTTATTCCTGTTCTCAGGGGGAATGCTTTCAGTCTCTCTCCATTGAGAATGATGTTGGCTGTTGGTTTTATATAGATGCCCTTTATTATGTTGAGGAATTTCCCTTCTATTCATATTTTATTGAGAGTTTTTATCAGGAATTGGTGTCGGACCTTGTCAAATGCATTTTCTGCATCAATTGACATGATCTTGTAATTCTTTTCTTTTGATTCTATGTGGTAGATTATGTTGATTGATTGTCTAATGTTGAACCATCCTTGCATACATAGTATGAATCCCACTTGATAGTGGTGTATTATTTTTTTGATATGATGCTGAGTTCTGTAGGCTAGAATTTTGTTGAGAGTTTTTGCATCATGAGAGATAATGGCCTGCATTTTTCTTTTTTTGTGGTGTCTTTGCCTAGCTTTGATATTAGGGTTATGCTGGCTTCATAGAATGAATTTGGGAGTATTCCTTCCTTTTCTGTGTTCTGAAATAGTTTGAGTAGTACTGGTGTGAGCTCTTCTCTGAAAGTTTGGTAGAAGTCTCCAGTGAAGTCGTCCAGGCCAACGCTTTTTTGGTTGTTGTTGGGAGTTGTTTTTTTTTTTTTTT